CCCTTCTCCTGCCTTCAATCTTTCCCAGGGCTTGGGAGCCACCCTCATCCATACAGGCAGCATCCTTGCACTTTGGGGCTGACCCCCTTGCTGTGCTGTCTTTCAGTTTCCCTAAACCATGTTTTAGGCTCTATCCTTTGCTAAACCTGAGGCTTGGGTGTCCTTGGAGTCCCTGAGCAGGACCCAAAGGACCTAGTGTCTTGATTAAGCTCTCAGTGAGTGAAAGTTGCTCAGTCGTGTCCGACTCTTTGCGAGTCAAATTTGTGAACTCTTTGTGAGGGAATTCTTCAGGCCAGAATACTGGAGTGAGTAGCCTTTCCCTTCCCCATGGGATCTTCCCAACCCAGGTCTCCCGCATCGCAGGCAGATTCTTTACCAGCTGAGCCACAAGGGAAGCCTCAGTGACGAATGAAAAAAATAGACTGACTTTCCCCTGAGCTGAATGGTGGCCCAGTTCCCATGGGTGCCAGCTCACTGCTTCCTCTACCCACTTTGTGTACCATAGCCCTCCTGCCCTCTGAGCCAAGACTCAGACAGTGAACAAGGACAAGACAATGTGGGCTCCGAAAGAAGACAACATTCTCAGAGCTTCAGATGGATAACTGCTGCTGGTGGAAAGCTGACAAGTATGACTGATAATAAAGTTAATTGTTACCCAGTCAATGGAGTCGGCACAGGTTTACAAGTGAAACTGTCATTATGCTCACACATACACACATACACACACACAGTCAATACCTCCAATAAATCCTAAGATATGCAGGGCGCATGGGGCCTGGGCCAGTGGCCCTGGAGTTCAGCAGGGCAGGCTTTTCTCTCTGGTTTATAGCCAGGTGACACCGAGATTAGGCAGTTGTGAATTTGCCCAGCGAGACCTGGGTGGTGTTGACACTAGATCTAACCCAGAGTCCACTGATCTGTAAGTGGCAAGCCAACACAGCCCTTTCTGCAACAGGGACACATGCTCGTATGCTAAGTCACTCAGTCATGTCCACCTCTTTGCAACCCCACGAACTGGGCCCTGCCAGGCTCCTCTCTCCATGAGATTCTCCAGGCAAGAATACTGGAGTGGTTACCATTTCCTCCTCCAGGTGATATTCCCAGCCCAGAGAGGGGAACCCCAGTGTTTTATGTCTCCTGAATTGTCAGGCAGGTTCTTTACCACTGGCGTCACCTGGGAAGCCTTGCTACAGGAACGAAGACGCTGAAAGTGAACCCAGGTGGAGGGTGGCTTCCCGCATAGTCAGATGCAGGGGGATGGTTTTAGGGAGGCCCGGCCGGCCGTGGACAGAGGGCACTGCCTTCGGGAAAGGCGCACCAGGACGCCCGGGAAGTTCAGCAATGCTGGGCACGGAGCCGGTGGCTTTGACGTCCGTCTAGGGTTGCACCAGGCTTGTCCTGTTTCCCATGTGTTCTCTTGGCCAAGTTCCTTTGCTCTGAGCTTCCTTCCCTGTCTATAAAATGGGGACGTGAACTCAGGAGAATTATTACTGGGATGTCAATTTCCTCTGCTCCTTTTGGTTAAGCAGCTGGGGGCTTTCTGCCTGTATATTGGGGCCTCAGGAAATGGGTGACGCAGCCTCTGGGGTTGTTGTGCAGCCCACATAGCCACCTCCTGACCCCTGGTGGCTCTGGTCAGTCCCCCCTCTTTTGTCCTGTTCCCCCATAAGGGGATTGAGATGGACTCTAGGGTTGGCGTGACCCCTCCCCCCTCGCCTCCTTCTAAGCTGAGCCCCCGTCTCTTGGGCCCACCTGAGCCTCCCGCCCCTCCGCCCTCCCAGAGAGAACAAAGGTTCGATTTGGTTCTTTCACTCCTCGGTTTCCTCCCCCCACCTCCCCGCCCCCCACTCCCGGTACCGCCGGGAAGGCTTCCCTCCCACTTCTCTCCCAGGAGGCGGAGATTTCAGGGGACTCAGTAAATTGTCATTGAGATGGTAACTTCACGGTGGGGGTGCTGGTCTCTCCCTAACAATGGCCTTCGAACCCGAGTCCCGGCCCCTCCGTAGACCCCAACTTTAACCCTTCAGTTCCCAGATCCTACTGAATCAAGGCTGGCCAGAAAACCTTAGAGAGGGCCCGGGGCCTCCTAGCTGCAGCCTAAGGAGGGCTGAGGGCTGAGGGTGGGCAGCACATTCCAGCCCCGGCGCCCCGGGGCTCTGTCCTCCCCCTCCCCCCCCACCCTGGGATTGTGGGCCCCTCCTTGTTCTCTGACAAATGTCCCCTCGTCGACTCCCCCTCCGGAGCTGTGGGAGTAGGTGCCTTATCAGGAGGGAGAGGAACGGGAGATGTGAGGGAAGTGTGGCTGGGATTGGTCTCTGGGGGCAACGGTGAGAGGGGGCGTCTTCATCCCCTGAGCGCCCACCTCCCATGAGGCTGCGCGAGGGGCAGTGTGGAGGGTAGGTGATGGGATCTAGGAAAGCTAGAGGCCTCTTAGTGCCATCTCTGGGCACCAGCTTACCTGGTGTGTGCACTGCCCCCACTAGGCCCCGTCTCAATGTCGGGGGTGGGGTGGGCAGGCAGGCAGGGTAGACTTGGTGGGCCTTGAAAGCAAGGCCTCCCTGGTGCTTCTTCCCTGGGCTTCCCCGGTGACTTAGACAGAAAAGAATCTGCCTGCAATGCAGAAGACCCAGGCTCGATCCCTGGGTCGGGAAGATCCCCTGGACGATGAAATGGCAACCCACTCCAGTATTCTTGCCTGGAGAATCTCATGGACAGAGGAGCCTGGAGGGCTACAGTCCACGGGGTTGCACAGAGTTGGACAAGACTGAACGACTAACACAGTAAAGCCAGGCCTGACTGCAGGCTGACCCACTGTCGCTGTCCCCCCTACCCTGATGCAGGACTCTGCTCAAACTAGTAATTACCAGGCAAATCAAGATGAGCTGGTGGCTTATACCCTAAGCCAGAGGCAGACTGTCTCCAGGCCTGGAGAGAGAAAAGGCCCCAGGCTGGGGCTGTCCAGGGTGGGAAGCCTTTTATACGTGGGTCGGTGGGCCCTCCTGAGAACTGGGCGGCAGGCTGCCGCCTGACACCTACCCAAACCTGTGTGACTGGATTCCTGGCAGCCCCAGAGGGAGCCCACTGAAGGCTTGCCTCTATTTGTCCTTCTTTCTCCACATCCCCCCTTCCCTCAAGAAATGTGAGTCCTCAGGGGCCTGGACGAGCTGGACAACCCACCCTTGCCTCCCCCTGCTCATTCCAGCCAGCAGGGAGCTCTGGTCATTTCTCAGCCTTTGCATCAGCACCCTCCTCCCCATTCTCAGGCCAGGGCCACCAGGCAAGCCGATACTCTGCCCCTCTCTGGGGAGGCTCCCTGGCCATTGGAGTCCACCTGTCAGACCCTCTGATTGGCACTGGCCTCAGTCTCTCCACCTGCAATGTGGGAGGCCTGGGTTTGATCCCTGGGTTGGGAAGATCCCCTGGAGAAGGGAATGGCTACCCACTCCAGTATTCTGGCCTGGAGAATTCCATGGACTGTATAGTCCATGGGGCCTCAAAGCGTTGGACAGGACTGAGTGACTTTCACTCACTGTCTCTCCATTTAAGGGGGAGGGGTTCTCCTGCTTTTCTGGGGGTGCCCATCCCTTTGCAGATCTGATCAAGATTTAAACCTCTTTTCCAAAAAACTGCTAAAAGCTGTTCCCAGAGCATTGCAGCCACTTGAAGTTAGAATTCTTTACAAATGTAGCCCCTCTGGGTGGACGAGGAGGACGATGAGGGGATGACCCCTCCCCCAGGGTCGCTGAGTGGAGCAGCGACTAGGTGTGCATTGGGGGGGGTGCCCTCCCATCCTTGCCCCCACAGGCCAGATGAGCTCCAGCTTCCTCAGGGGGAGTGGGGGGAGGGGAGAGGCTCTCCCTTGGGAGTCCTCCCCATCACCCTGGAGATAGGAATTTTCATCAGCACCCCAACTCCCTTTCCACACAATAAAGCTCAGTGCTTGGCACTGATGGAGGGGCTTGAAAGAGCTCATGCCTCCCCTCAAAATGAGGGGCTGCTGTTTGTGGGTCCTGTGAGATTTCTCAAAAGGGTCTTTGACCCAAGGAGGCTTGACCTTCTACGAATTTGCTCCTGGCCAGGGAGGTGGGTGGGTTGGTGGGGGGGCGGGAAGGACTTGAGCCATGGTCTGCGTGACCCCCAGGCTGGGCTGTTCACACCAGGGGCATCCTGGGCTCTGATGGGGTCTTCAGGAAGGGGTGTGCGTCCTGAGTTCTTCGAGGCAGGGCTCAGGGACTCCCAAGTCACCTGGGCCTCACCCCCCTCGCCCTCCCCTGCAGTGTCTCCCCAAATAGAGCCGGGCTGTCCCCCCCGCACCTAGGGCTCACCCCCTGCTTCTCTCCCCTTCCCCCACCTTCACAAGAGGCTCTTTATCCCCCGGCCCCACGACACCCTCAGCCATTCAGCTCAGCCCCCGGTGGCAGCAACAGGGGTGGGAAAGTCACACCTGAGCTGAAGTCAAGAGGGGGTTGGTTTTCTAGGCCGTTGCCAGGGCGATGTCACCTGAGCTGGGCGCCAGGCACCTGTCGCCAGGGGAACAATGCGGGCGGGGCCCCTCCCTCGGGAACCGCCAGAGCCACTAGGCTGAGACGGGAGATGGATCAGATTCTAGAGAGTGCTGGTTGGGTGGGCTGGGGGGACAGGGGTGCGGTACTGGGGAAGCTGGCGCATCTGCATCATAAAACAGAAACACAACGGGGGCGGGAGAGCAAAGACAGCGGGGGACCAGGTTTCAGGAGGCTCAGCATGCTGCCGAAGGTGTCCTCCCACTTTCAGCCTGAGCCAGGGCCTTGGCCTCCCCAGCCAGTCCCGTCTCCTCCTCATTCCTTTGTCCCTGCATCCCCACAGGTATAGAGGTTCTTTGATCCCCGGTTCATTCCCGGTCACCAATCCCCCCCGCACCTGCCCCCCCCAGCCCCGCCTCCTCCCATCACTCCGGCTCCACCCCGGCCTCAGCCTTAAAAACCCGCCCGCAGCCTGGAGTCCGCAGGTGGCACCGCCGGGTGAGCCGCTCAGCCCCAGAACCTGCGCCAGCCCCCGACTTGGCTCTCCTCTCAGCAGGTGGGTCAGGAGGGTCTGTGCAAGTTTGTCAGACAGGCAGCGGTGGGACCTGACTGCAGGGCACCTGAGGGGCGACGGAACCCGCCCGGCAACAGCAGCCACTCAGCTGAGCAAGACTTTGGGGTGGATTTGTTGCTAGGGGTTCAGAGACCCATCTGTGAAGGGCACGGAGCTAGGAGGCACCAAGAGGCTCTCGGATGTGGTGAGCGCTGTCTGGGTCAGAGGACGCTGACACGCCCTTGCTGGGCACGGAGACCCCCCACCTGCGTTCCCACAGGCGTGGAGCATCGGACCCACTCCTCCAATCAACCGGGACTCTTACAGCTGGGGAAGACCCGACTGAGGGAGGGGACAGATGGCTTCCACTGGCCTTGAACTCCTGGGCATGACCCTGGCCGTGCTGGGCTGGCTGGGGACCCTGGTGTCCTGCGCCCTGCCCCTGTGGAAGGTGACTGCCTTCATCGGCAACAGCATCGTGGTGGCCCAGGTGGTGTGGGAAGGGCTGTGGATGTCCTGCGTGGTGCAGAGCACGGGCCAGATGCAGTGCAAGGTATACGACTCGCTGCTGGCGCTGCCGCAGGACCTGCAGGCTGCCCGGGCCCTCTGCGTCATCGCCCTCCTGCTGGCCCTGCTCGGGGTGCTGGTGGCCATCACGGGCGCCCAGTGCACCACCTGCGTGGAGGACGAAGGCGCCAAGGCCCGCATCGTGCTCACCGGGGGAGTCCTCCTCCTCCTGGCTGGCATCCTGGTGCTCGTCCCGGTGTGCTGGACGGCCCACGCCATCATCCAGGACTTCTACAACCCCATGGTGGCCGAGGCCCTCAAGCGGGAGCTGGGAGCCTCCCTCTATCTGGGCTGGGCCGCGTCCGCCCTGCTTCTGCTGGGAGGGGGGCTATTGTGTTGCACATGCCCCCCGCCCCAGATCGAGCGGCCCCGGGGACCAAGGCTGGGCTACTCTATCCCCTCCCGCTCAGGGGCATCTGGGCTGGACAAGAGAGACTATGTGTGAGGCCAATGTCCCAGGAAGCCTGCTGCTGGAAACCTTGACCTTTGTGCTGGCTGCCCTGCTCTCAAACTTGCCTTCCACTCTCATCCCTCTGCCAGGTGGAACACACTTTCCAGAGGCAGGAGCAGGCCTGGCTGTAGAGCTAGTCTCAGCACCCAGCCCGAGTGAGCCTAGACCCACCTCCAACCCGGCAGGTGCTCCTGCTTCTTTCTTCTGTCCTGGATTCAGGCTGGTCCTCCTCTTGCTCCCAGAACCTGGGCTTCACCCAAAGAGCTGTAGCTCCTTATAAGGCATCTGGCCTGGAGTTGGCCCCCTCCGCCTGGCCACTACTGGCATCCAGAGCAGCCGCTGTCCTCCAGGCCCAGAGACTCTGCCCATCACCTTCCCCCCTCACCCCTCCTTCAAGTAGGGAATAAACAGAATATCTGTAACTCAGAATAAACAGAGTATTTGTGGTTGAGCTGGGAAGACCTGATGGCCTCCCGTGGGTTTGTCAGGCAAGGCCTGCTCCAGGTCATGCCCAGACAGTGACCTCACTCAGGCCACGCAAGTCTCAGGGTGGGGAACGGAACGACAACAAGGCAGGTGTGCCACTCATGCCCACCTCCTCGGGCTAGTCTGGCATTCAGCAACCTCCCCAGCAACACCAAAGGTAAGTAATCAAACAAAACATGCTTTATTTAGTAAAACCCGGTGAGTGTGGGCAGGACATGGCAAGTGCCCCGGGGCTGGAATAGGAAGGTCAGGGGTCAGCACAAGGGGGACATGACTCAGGATGCAGGAGTCAGAGGTCAGAAGACTTGGAGACTGGCGGGTCTTTGGTAACTTATCACCTGCTCTTCTGGAAGCTACATGAGGCTCGAGAGCCCCTGGGGGTTCCAGAGGCTTGACCAGCAAGGAAAGGCTTGTCCTAGGGAGGCCCCGCCCCCAGCACCAGCAGGGGAGGGCATGGTACCCTTCACATGGGGAAGTTCCAGGTTGGTCTCTAAGATAGGGTTGTCCAGGGTGGAGAACAATCCAGAAACTGAAGCATCGCCTTTTTGGCTCCATCTTCCAAAGTGAGGAACACCAGTAGCAGACCCCAGGTAGGTTATCAAGTGGATTAACCACTGCCCCCCTACCCCAGTAAGAATCCAAAACAACCCCAAAGCTGTCATGGATCACCATCTCCATGACCCCAGTGCAGTGGGTTAGACTCCACTATCAAAGGAGCCCCCACTCCCCTACCCAAATTAGACGTAATTCTTAGTGGGGTATTCGGAGGGACCCCGAGAGGCGGTATGTGGGGCTGATACTGAGTATCGGGCCATATAATGTCTGGAGCCCCGGGAGCCCCCAGAGGGGCAGGTGCAGCACAGTAGCCCCCCACCCAGCAACAAAAGGCCAGAAGCCGCCCAGCCCAGGTAGAGGGAGGCTCCCAGCTCCCGTTTTTGGGCCTCTACCACCAGAGGGTTGTAGAAGTCCTGGATGATGGTGTGGGCCGTCCAGCACACAGGGATCAGGGTCAGGACCCCAGAGATAACAAAGATGATCCCGGAGGTGAGCACCAGGCGGGCCTTGGAGTCCTTGTCCTCCACGCAGGTGGTGCACTTGGCTCCAGCGAGGTAGACCAGCAGGCCGAGCAGGGCCACGAGGAGAGTGATGACGCAGAGGGCCCGGGCAGCCTGCAGATCCTGCGGCAGTGCCAGCAGCGAGTCGTACACCTTGCACTGCATCTGGCCTGTGCTCTGCACCACACAGGACATCCACAGCCCCTCCCACACCACCTGGGCCACCACGATGCTGTTGCCGATGAAGGCGGTCACCTTCCACAGGGGCAGGGTGCAGGACACCAGGGCATTCACCCAGCCAAACAGGGTCAGGACGATCCCCAGGATTTGCAGACCAGCAGACGCCATGGCGAAGCTGGGGCTGAGACGCGGCACTGGGGGACAAAAGAAGAGTAAGGTTAAGACCAGCTGGCTCACACACACACACACACACACACACACACACACACACACACGCAAAGGTTAGCCCATGGCCCTTTGGGCACAAAGGGATAAAAGGGATGAAACAACAGAATGCAATTTTTCTGTAGTTTCTACAGGGCAAATGGGTGGTGGGTTGGCTCTAGCCATGAGTTCCAGGCTTAAAATTTAGTTTTAACACCAAAAACAGCCCCAAGTTTCCTCTTAGCATCCAACATAAGTGTCCAAACCCTTCACCCCAACTTGGATCCATACCCCAAAACAGGTGGTTGCTATTTTGATCTTAAGATATAGTGTGGATGGTAGCCAGACAGTCCTGGCTAAGATATAGTGTGGATGGTAGCCAGACAGTCCTGGCCTTGCTCACCACTGCCTGGTTCAAACCAGCTCCACCTATTCAAAACCTGGATGGGGCATGAGAGGTGGAGAAGAAACACAACAAAACAGTAACACCAGCCTCTACCACCCAAAGTACTTCCTTTCCCAAGGTCCCCAGCTGCCTCCTGGGGTCCTGCCCTCTGCCCTGCCTGGGGCCCACAGAACAGACTCCCAAGGTTGGTGACATTTTCTTGTGTATTCTTGCCCCAAATGCCATCCTCTCAGGGCCCAATTTCCCCTAAAAGAAGCTGCCACCTTTGGAGTCTGTCCAGTGAACCAGCTCCTCTGGGGCAGCTCTGGCCCCCTCACATCCTGATTTGTCTCGGACGTCGTTTGGGGGGCGATCAGTTACGCTCAGGGCCCCCCTATGATTCTCCATTGCACAAAGTTCCCGCGCACAGCTCGGACCTAAACTTAGCACCAGCCCCAGGGGGTGGCCAGAAGGCAGACTCTCCATTTCTTTGCACCCCGCCCATAACCTGGGAGAACTCATGACCTCAGGGGAGATCGGACGGGGCGGGCCGTACTGCGCCAATCCCAAGCCCAGGGTCAGCCCTCCAGGCCTCTCCGGCCGGTTTAGGGTGGGGGCCACGCTGGCCTAGGCACCTTCCCCTTACAAGCGCGCCCCTGCTCTCGGCCCCTTCCCTTTCCACGCGCTACGGCCTCAGCTCATCCGAGGGCGTCCCCTCCCGCTCTCGATCCCTATTTCCCCTGAGTGTGGCCCGAAGGAGGGTGTCCTCAGCCCCCCGCCGTGGAAGCCGCGCACCCTTAAGTGGCCTAAGGGCGGCGCTCGCAGCGGGGTCCGCTCGCACAGGTGAGGGGAAGAAGGGCCCGGCCCTAGAGAGCAGAGCAGGTGGGGGAGGGGCTCCCGGGTTTCGGTGCTTTTGTCCTGGGCAGGGGGAGGGGCGCTTAACCCTTCCGTCGAAGGACCCCTTCAGGGCCCCGTCTCGGGTGCAGGCGTCCCCCCGCCCCCAGGGGCTCGCGGTCAAATCAGCTCAGGTTCGTCCCACGCACCGCAACCCAACTCTGCCACACCCCACGTGCCCCGCAATCCCAGGTGTCTACCCCTTCCCCCACGACAGGCGTACCTGCCCTGGCTCACCTGAGAAGGACTGCACGGAGATTCTACGCAGCCGGCAGAGTGTGGAGATGGGCGCGGAGGCGGGGGTCTTTAAAGAGGCAGTGACGTCACCGGACCACCGCCCTGGGGAGGGGCAGAGACCCTTGTCCGACTGGCGGCGAATCCCAGCCTGGTCAGGAAGGGGCGCTCGAGGCCGCAGCCTCCGCTCGCACACCTTTGGCCCGGGCGCCTGGTAGCAGCTGGCTGCAGTTCCGCCCGCTGGGAAGACTCGCGGTGTGGAGCCGAACAGAGCTCGGGTCCGGACTCCGGAACTCACCTAAACTTCCCGAGCCTCATTTCACTCCGAAAAAGGGAGACAGCATTTACCAGTCAATCCTGAAAGAAACCAATCCTGAATATTCACTGGAAGGTCTGATGCTGAAGCTCCAGTACTTTGGCCACCTGATGCGAAGAGTGATACTTCACTAAGTGAAAAGAAGTGAAAGTGACGGCCTACTCTTTGCGAGTCCATACAGTCCATGGTCTCCCGCATTGCGACCTTACCAGCTGAGCCACAGGGAAGCCCAAGAATTCTGGAGTGGGTAACTATCACTTCTCCAGCGAACCTTCCCGTCCCAGGAATCGAACCGGGGTCTCCTGCATGGCAGGAGGATTCTTTACCAACTGAGCTATCAAGGAAGCCCTGATATGAAGAGAGGACTTATTGGAAAAGATCCTGATGCTGGGAAAGATTGAAGGCAGGAGGAGAAGGGGACGACGACAGAGGATGAGATGGTTGGATGGCATCACCGACTCGATGGACATGGGTTTGAGCAAACTCAGGGGAGATAGTGAAGGACAGGGAGGTCTGGCGTGCTGCAGTCCAAGAGTCGGACACCACTGAGCGACTGAACAACGAACATCAACAAATGTCCTAAGGTAGAAATAAAACGACACAGTAGTATTACATTTGTTATATTATACCCTCGGGGCCCTTAAGAAAGCTGCAGTTATCTCTGAGATGGGTTGTTTCGTGTCAGACCCGCCCCCTCTTCCAACACACACCTCCCGGGCTTCAGCCACCGAGAAGGCAAGGCCACATCTGCCTCCCTTTGGCATTCTGGCTGCTCGAGCGCAGAGGAGGCGTTTGTTGAGCGAATGCCTGAACTTAGCGGGCGGGGCGGGGCGGGACGGGGCGTCTAGGGGCGGATCGTCGGGGGCAGGCGGAGACCAGCGGTCCGCCCCGGAAGGCGGGGGCGGGGGCGGGGCCGCCTCTCTGTGCCCGGGTCCACGGGTGGCGAGCGCAGACGGCAGCGGCCGCCAGACGAGCACCATGGCTCTCTGCCCGCTACGCCCGCTGCTGCGGCTTCTCGTGCTGGGGCTCGGGCTGGCGCTGCTGCGCGCCGCGGCTGGGGAACGAGTGCCAGGTATGCCGGTCCCCGGCCGGGCGGGAGGGCGTGGGAGCGGGGGGAGTCCCCTGGCCGGGATCGGGGAGCCGGCACCAGGAGCCTGGAGGCGGGGCTGAACCGGGGGACCAGGCAGACACGGGGATCCGGGGTCAGACAGCCCCCAGACACGGCCTCCCCAGATCAGGAGAGGTCCCATCCCGCTCCCAGCTTCTTCCATAGTCCGGGCCTCAGTTTCCCGCCTGTCCGACGTGGGGGGGGGGG